TTCGCTCAGATTCACTTGTTACTTCATCAGCTGTGATATCTATTGATGTTACCTCCTCTGCTGTTATCAAATCACCAACTGTTGTCGATGGTATTGTTGTTATATCAATTAGTGTTGTTAGCTCAAATTCACTCGTTAACTCATTAGTTGTGATATCTATTGATGTTAGCTCCACTACCGTTGTCAAATCATCTACTGTCGTCGATGGTCTCGTTGATTCATCAAGAAAGGTAGTTTGATTAGCATCACTCGTTACTTCAGCGGTTGTGATAGCAATGGATGTTATCTCCTCTAATGTTGTCAAATCATATAGTATTGTCGACGGTATGGTTGTTGCATCAACAAATATAGTTCGCTCAGATTCACTTGTTACTTCATCAGCTGTGATATCTATTGACGTTAGCTCCTCTGCTGTTGTGAAATCACCAACTGTTGTCGAGGGTATTGTTGTTATATCAATTAGTGTTGTTAGCTCAACTTCACTCGTTAAATCATTACTTGTGATATCTATTGATGTTAGCTCCTCTACCGTTGTCAAATCATCTACTGTCGTCGATGGTATTGTTGATGCATCAAGAAAGGTAGTTTGATAAGCATCACTCGTTACTTCAACTGTTGTGATAGCAATGGATGTTATCTCCTCTACCGTTGTCAAATCATCTACTGTCGTCGATGGTATCGTTGATGCATCAAGCAAGGTAGTTTGATCAGCATCACTCGTTACTTCAGCGGTTGTGATAGCAATGGATGTTACCTCCTCTAATGTTGTCAAAGCATCTACTGTTGTCGATGGTATGGTTGTTGCATGAACAAATGTAGTTCGCTCAGATTCACTTGTTACTTCATCAGCTGTGATATCTATTGACGTTACCTCCTCTGCTGTTGTCAAATCTAGTGTTTTCAAATCCCCAACTGTTGTCGATGGTATTGTTGTTATATCAATTAGTGTTGTTAGCTCAAATTCACTCGTTAACTCATTAGTTGTGATATCTATTGATGTTAGCTCCTCTACCGTTGTCAAATCATCTACATTCGTCGATGGTATCGTTGATTCATCAAGAAAGGTAGTTTGATGAGCATCACTCGTTACTTCAGCG